TTAATAAATGACTGGACAATGAAACTGTGGTATAGCAACGCAGTGAAACATGAGGTGATTTCACTAAGTGAAATCAGAAGGTGAAAGTCAAGTTATAATGGGAAAGTTCTGATAGTTCATGGAATATAAATAACTATAGCAAATATAGTGACAAAAAATAACAAAACTAACTCCTAGACTCAGTGAGAGCTATGGTGGTTACCAGGGTAAGTGGAGTAAGTGGATGGTTGAGGACTGGCTGAGGATTCTTTTTTGGTGGTGAGGTAGTTCTGGAACTTTGGAGGTGGGGTGGGGAATTCTATATGATATGTTAATAGTAAAAAATGATGCAAAAGCATTAAACTATAATTCCCAAATTCTATAAGATTGTAAATTAATAATAAATCAATATAAATGAAGGCCTTGTAAGTTCCAATGTAGGTCTTATTATTTTTTTTTATATGTTCAGCTTCTACACTGCACCAGAATTCTGCGGTGCTGAGGTCAACGCTATGGAGCCCATGTGGTTCTACATAAAAACACTGTCACTGTCACTGTCCTCCCGTTGTTCATCAATTTGCTCGAGCGGGCCCAGTAACGTCTCCATTGGAGACTTTGTTGTTACTGTGTTTGGCATATCGAATACATCACGGGGAGCTTGCCAGGCCCTGCCGTGCAGGCGAGATACTCTCGGTAGCTTGCCGGGCTCTCCGAGAGGGGCGGAGGAACACATTCAAAACATTTAAGGTTGGGATTGTTTTTCTGGATTGAATTTAATCCTACAGCACTGTAGTACTGTCCTCCTGTTGTTCATGGATTTGCTCGAGCTGGCGCCAGTACAGTCTCCATTGTGAGACTTGTTGTTACTGTTTTTGGCATATCGAATACATCACAGGGAGCTTGCCAGGCTTTGCCATGTGGGCAGAATACTCTCAGTAGCTTGCTGGGCTCTCCAAGAGGGGCAGAGGAATTGAACCCAGGTCGGTTGCGTGCAAGGCAAATGCCTTACCCACTATGCTATAGCTCCAGCCCAATTTAATACCATACTTGAAAAAAAAAACCATGAAGCTACAGCTGCAGTTAGCTTTCACACACTGAGAGCATTTCAGAAGCCCTTGGCATAGCTCTGCAAATCACTTTACACACCTCCACCAAGGCGGTGGAATCCTAGATTGACTGTGGGGGAGAGCAAGGAAAAGGGGGGAGAGGGCAAGATGGAGTGATGCAAATAATTGCTGGTTTTGCTTCTAAGATGCTGTCAGGGTGCTAAAACTGACCTGAGCAATAGCACCCTGGTTGTTCACTATGCAATGTTTTGTTAAGCTGTGCTTTATGTACTCTATACATTTCTGTACCGGTGTTATATTCTATAATTATTTAAATACAAGATTTTTAAGTCAGAAAAAAAGACCTTTAATTCATCTCAAAGTTATGGTTTTGTATATTCGAGTATTAATAAAAATACTAGATATGCCAAAAACAGTAACAACAAATCTCACATTTAAATTTACATTTGCTTAGAAAATCAAGAGCATTACTGTAAGGAACAGAGATGCTTTCGTACTCTGTGTACATATTTGGAGGGGAAGGGATAAAAAGGAAAGAGAACAAAGATTATTTGTCAAAAGTCTTTAATTTGTCAATATAGTTTTCCCAAATCACAAACTTAAATGAGTTTCTGAAATTGTAATGAGTATTAGAAATTCTGTAATTTCCTTCATATCCATAAGATCTCTTGGTCTCATTCAACACTAAAAACTTTTGATGGTTTCCCACTGTTCTAAAAGTTAGAATTCTTAGCAGAGCCCATTAGGTTTCAATTCCTTATACTTTACTCACGTCTCAATTACTTGCTATGAGAACTTCAGCCACGCTGGCTTTCTCTCAGCTCTTCATATAAATATGTCATCCCCAAGTTCCTTTCCACACCAACTCTTCACTAGGTTCTGATTAATTTCTTTAATAGTATTTCCTGAACTTTCATTATGAGGCAAACATTGTACTACTCACTATGTTAATAAGGAATAACTTAACAACAGTTAGGAAGAAGGCATAATTCCTTTTCTCATGCAATTTATACTCTCACCTGTTGAAAGACATTTAGTTTATATTGATGTCTTAGCTATTACGAATAATGCCAAGTATACATAGCTATACATCTCTCTTCATGATCCTAATTTCAATTGCTTTGACTATACATTCAAAAGCAGAATTTCTGGATAGTTCTATTAAAATGTTTTAAGAGCCTTCCACACCATTTTTCATAGTGGACGCAACAGTTATATTAAGGTACCAATCATTGAGGCCAGAGTGATAGAACAGCAGCACTTGCCTTGCATGCAGTCAACCTGGATTCAATCCTCAGCACCCATGTCGTCCCTAGAGCCCACCATAAGTGATATAAGCACAGTGCCAGGAGTGAGCGCTGAGCAATGCCAAGTACTGCCCAGCCCTGTCCTGACCCCCCTTCACTTCCTTTGCATTCATTGGTCTAATAGGAATAATTAGAAAAATAAATATTTAATCTTACCTTAAAATTTAATGTCTTTTCGATTGCCACTCAATGCCTCTTTTGCAAACCACAGCACCCAAAAGGAGAGAGAGAACAAAAGGGAATGCACTGCCACAGAGGCAGGGTGGGATGGGAGGGATGGAGGTGGGAGGGATACTGGGATCAGCAGTGGTGGAAAATGGGCACTGGTGGAGGGATGGGTATTTGATCATTGTATAATTGAAACCCAAGCACAAAAATTTGTAAGTCTACAACTGTACCTCATGGTGTTTCACTAATAAAAATTTTTTAAAAATTAATGTCTTTTACTATTTTAAAGAAAGATTTCAAGCAGTGTTTTTATAAAAATAGAAACTAAGCTTTTAAACTTACTTTTTAATTAAATTTTTCTAAAAACCCATAATTTAAAATCTTATTCTTTCATTAACATGTTTATATTTTCTACCTATCCTATCCTAAAATTAAAAATCTCTTTCTATGAAACGTAAGATTCTTTTATACATTCACTGAAAAAATTCCTGGGCGCATGCACCAGAGGAACACAGATGGTCAGCTCTCCTTGTCCTCACCTGCCTACTGATATGGATACTAGACCCAACTGGGCTACATGCAAGGCAAGAGCCCTACCTGCTGTACTATTGCTACAGTCTAATGCTGAGACTATTTAAGGCAGCCACAAGGTACCAATTATGATCTATTTTTTCCATATCACTAATTTTCCTTGTTTTAGCATTTTGGCTAGTGCCATCTTGTTCCCAGTTGATCATATTAGAATGTGGGCAGTGGATAAAGCTGCTTGAAATAGCTCAGGACCAGCAAGTATGTAGGTCCTACTACATTAAACTAAGACGCGTCTGCACTTCAAAGGAATCAATGACCAGAATACAAAGACAGCCCACATATTGAGAGAAATTATTTACCCAACAGTCATTTGGTAAGGGGTTAATATCCAAAATATATAAGACACTGGTAGAACTTCGTAAGAAAAAACATCCAAGATCATAAAAAAATATGGGAGAGAGATGAACACAAACTTCCTCAAAGAAGAAATACAAATGTCCAAAAGGCATGTTATAAAAAATAATGCTCTGCATCACTAGCCATCAGGGAGATGCAAATAAAAACAACGATGAGATATCATCTCACACCACAGAGACTGGCACACATCAAAAAGAACAAGAACAACCAGTGCTGACTTCGATGCCAGCAGAAACGAATTCTCATTCACTGTTGGTGGGACTGTCAATTGGTCCAGCCTTTTGGGAAAACAATACTGACATTCCTCAAACACTAGAAATTGAGCTTCTATATAACCCAGCAATACCACTCCTGGAAATATGTCCTAGGGACCCAAAAACACACTGCAGAAAAGGCATCTACTCTCTTACATTCACTGCAACACTGTTCACAATAGCAAGAATCTGGAAAAAAATCTGGAAACAGCCCAATTGTCTAAGAACAGACAAGTTGCATAAAGAACTATGTCAGGTCAACACAATGGAATACTATGCAGCTGTTAGGAAAAAGTGAAGTAATAAAATTTTCTTAGACATGGATGGACATGGTAAGTATAATGTTGAGTGAAACGAGTCAGAGGGAGAGGAGCAGACATAGAATGATCGCACTTATTTGCAGGATCTAAAAAAATAAAAAACATAGTATGAGACTAGTACCCAAAGACAATAGAAATGAGGGCCAGGAAAACTGGTCCATAGTTGGAGACTTGTCAAAGGGAGGGTAGTTGGGGGATGGGGTGGAGGGGAATGTGGTTAGGACAAAAAAGGGGAAAAGAGATCACTATAACACTGATGGTAGGAAATAATCACTCTGGACAGAACTGGTTGCTGAAAGGAGTAAAGTGATATGCATGATAACCTTTCAGTAACAATATTGCGAACCACAGTGCCTAACAGGAGAAAAAGAAGTGTCTTCCATAGAGGCAGGATGGGGGACTGGGGGGAACTGGGGATCTCTGTGGAGGGAAGTGTACACTGGTGCATGGATGGGTACTCAAATATTATACAACAGAAACTCAATCGTGAATAACTTTGTAACTGTGCATCTCATGGTGATTCAACTAAAAAATTTAATAGAATAAAGTTAGGTCCTAACCAATATAAAATCCCATTGACTTAATGATAGAAGTACCAGAAAGGAAATTGGGATCGTCAAAGTTTGACAAGGGGGATATTTCAGTACCATACCATTTCAAAGGACAGACAAAAGTTGACATCATAAATGCAGAAGTTAAAGAATAACTGTATTAGAAGTTATTAAAAATTTAACTATGCTCTACATGAAACTTTTAAAGTTTGGTTGTATTTATAATTATTCGTTTAGAAACAGATGTTATATGAATGCTATCAGAAAAGAGTAGTTTACAGAAAGACCGTATTTGCATTAATTATGTTACAAGAGTACCCATGTTCTTCAAGATTTCCATTTAACACATGCATAATCAGAAAATATATATAAGGAACTAAACATAATAAAGATTCATACTTCTTACCCCATATTTACATTGGCGGGATGTTGCTCCATACTGGAAACGACATTGCTCATCTGCATCATACACCTGACCTGGGGCCACAGCTGGATAAAGAAAGTCACGCTTGGGAGGCTCATTATCAAGGCAAGTACCACGGCCTGAACTGTTCAACATAAAGGATCAAAGGAAATTAGGCACACTATGGACTATTTTGATCGCAATTTTGAAACCATGAGTTGAGTTCTAAGTTTTAATAGCAATGCATGAAAGGCAACACATTCTAGCAAAAATATCCATGACAAAACAGAACATCTTTACTGAAAGTGGATAAGAGCATCAATAGTAGTTTTTGTTTGTTTGTTTGTTTGTTTCATTTCAGCACCAAGACAGCTAATGAATCTTAAACAATGACCTAAGAAGTCTTTGTTGGCCTTTAAAGCAATAATTTAAATTAATTTCTGAGGCCATCAAAACAGAATTTCAATTGCTCTAAGCTTCTTATTTGTTTTTGGTGAAAATACACCCACATCTGCTTGTAGAATTAAAAACATAAAATGTGGAAAATTAAAAGAACTGTGGTTGTAATGCTTAAAGACTTAATCTATACACTTCCACTTTGGGCAGAACAATAGACACAGTGGTAATACATGTCCAAAGGTTCTTGAAATATTTCAATAATAAATGGGCTGAATGACAGATGAGGCTAAAAGCCAAAGTTCTCCTCTCAAGTATATTAAAAGTGTTTAGTCTCTCAGAAATTTCATATTTCATCTAGGGTCATCAGAGTTGGAAAAGAGAATGTTCTCTTTTCTCTATAATTTCTGTTTTTTCAAAGTATGCTTGCACTCAAACATAATATTTTAATTCAGTGGAACAAATAACATAAAGATCGCCAAAAGCCAGACAGAATACCTCAGTTTAAAGAGCTCTACACTTTGCTAAATATAATTGTTCATTTTTATTTAGTCCGTGTGCATAAAATGGGACAGATGCTTTTTTACTTTCATTTCACATGTGAATAAGTTAGAATTTTTAAAGAATTCCTATGCCAACATTAAAAAATTTTTTCCAACATTCCTGTCAATAGTGCCAGCCCTTGTGTTTTTTTCCCCAAATCTTTTCCATTCACTTTGCCAAAGGAAAATAATTTCACAAGTAGAAGTTTCTCAACTATTATTTAGAACAGTACACATTTTCATTTATAGATAACTAAGAAAGAACCATGCTTTAAAATGAGGTTCATTGTCACTTAAAATTTTATCATATTCTGAAATGTCTATTAATTTGTTATATAAAAATGTGTATTATTAGGGCTGAAGAGTTAACTTAGAGTGAATGCTGCATATGTGTGAGGCCCTGGGTTCAATCCACGGCAAAACAAACAAACAAACAAAACTCCATATATTTGAACATCCTTTAAGAATTGAAGCAAACTATTTATATGATAATATATTCAAAGATCCAAGGAATAAATAGAATATTTTTTCTAAATACTCTTTTCCTTTCCTTTATGTTCCTCTTGATTAATTTTTTTATTTTTGCTTTTTGGGTCACACCTGGAGATTCAGGGGTTACTCCTGGCTTTGCACTCAGGAATTACTCCTGGCAGTGTTCAGGGGACCATATGGGATGCTGGGAATCAAACCCGGGTCGGCTGAGTCCAAAGCAAATGCCCTACCTGCTGTGCTATCACTCAAGCCCCTGCTCTTGATTAATTTTTAATCAATAAAAATACTTAGATGATAAATCAAAATGTGATAGCACTACAGATGAACTTTACAAATAAATGACAATCATTTCATTTGGCACTGCTCAAGGTATTTAACTGATAACGGATAATTGTTTTTCAACCAGCGATCTCATCTTTATTACAAAATATTTTCAACTTTATATTTATTACATGTTTTAGAAACTGATGGTCCCTTAATAAGAGCATTATTTTTTGGATGAATTTTTAAAATAACGAGTTATTTTTATTTTGTGAATGCAAAACACACTTAATCTATAAGGGTATACACATTTGGCACAAATGAAATTTTACTAGTAAAACCAAAATTTTTCATTAACGCTAATGATAAAGTGAGCAAGCTTTAAAATTATCATGGGAGAAGAGAGATGATCAATTCATTAGTTTCATTCTTTCATTTTTATTCTAGCATATCTATTTCATCTCTGATAAAAATTCATAAAAATCTTTATGAATTGAGTTTAATATGAAACAAAAAATATTTTGTCAAGGTACTACTATAAATTGTTGGAAAAATTAAAACTGTATACTGAAGTAATTATGTACAGGACCCTATAGATTAAAATGTTTGCCAATAACATTATAAAACAAAGTATGAACATATTCATCTAAGTGACCACAACTCAAAATCTACTAAAAATTATTTTACATAATTATGTGTAAGAACACAGAAAATTAATCTAAACTTAGAGGAAACATTATGTGGACCCCTAAAAAGAGTTTAAGATTAGATATTTTTTCCCTGAAGGAAAAAATGCCTTCCTAATGGCAAACTGAAAATTTTCTTAACCCAGGTGGAAGCAAGAATAATTACTTCATTTAAAGTTCTTGTTGCCAGAGTTCATGTACTTAAAAAGCACCAAATCAGATGGCCACTACAAAGGCATCCAGACAACAAAGAATTCTATTGACTTGGTCACCTGTAACGAAGTTCTCCTGAGAGTTTATTCCAAAATTAGACTTTGTTTCAGCTCCTTGGAAGCATCTATTGCTTTTTATTCATGTGGTCTAATTAAAAATCTAGATATGTATTGGTTTTCTTTCTTAGCATATTTTTACAGAAGATGAAAAGAGCATCAGCAAAAAAAAAGTAGATATGCAAAAACATTACCTAGTTCTTCAGAAAATAATGATGTATTTATTAGTATGGCCTCAGTAAAGGCCTTTTGTAATGGATTTTGTTATATTTAGACAAATGATCAATACTTGCAAGTCAAGTGTCTTCATCATTAATTGGTTCATGGGGTTAATTGCAAGATTGATTTAAGTTGCTTCTACATTTTGGAAAGAAAATGAATATACATTTTCCTCTCATAAATGCTATCTGGTACATAAAGATAAATCCCAATTAAAGTATTTTGAAGTGTGGAGTAGTTTTCAAATTTTAATTCTGAGAACTGTGTGACCAATAAAATGCATGATTTTTAAAATCTGTCTTTTTCTATTATAGATTAAGTTAAATATATAGAAAAAATTATTAAGGGAAGAGTCTTTCAAAAGTATAATCCTGGATATTTCTTTGCCTCTGAGTCACAGGATACATTATGAAATATTATAAATATAGGTGTAGAAGGTAAAGAAATGGATCTGAAAAATGCATATTAAACTCTAAAAGTATGCTCCCTCATTTTTTCCTTAGAAAATTCCCAAGTGCTTTCCCCCTATTATGCCCTTCCCCCCCTTCAAGAACTACTTTATACTCTAATAGTTTCATTATTTTATACTCTAATTATTATAATAATTTTCTTAATTTCACCTTCCAATTATTTACCTTCCTTGTTGTCTACTCCATATAAGGGAGTGATTCTTTTATAAATTAATTCTTTCCCTCGGTATATAAGTGTGAGATACAATCATGTTGATAAGTATAAGCATAGCCTTTTCTTTAATGTTCTAATTTAATATTTCCCTAAAGACCATGCCATGATTATTTATTCATTCTTCTATTGTTTATTCATTCTTTTATTTTGTATAGTTTTTTTAGAACAAATCATTTTTTTTCTTAAACACGAGATTTGTAATTGCCTTACATGACCATTTTTTGCTCGAGTGGGCCCAGTAACGTCTCCATTGGAGACTTTGTTGTTACTGTGTCTGGCATATCGAATACGTCACGGGGAGCTTGCCAGGCTCTGCCGTGCGGGCGAGATACTCTCGGTAGCTTGCCGGGCTCTCCGAGAGAGAGGAATCGAACTCAGGTCGGCCATGTTGACTGTGTGCAAGGCAAATGCCCTACCGCTGTTGTATCGCTCCAGTCATTTTTAGATAAAAATGACCATTTTTATCTAATCTAAATTTTAAGCTAATAAATATAATGATACAATTCTTATAATATTGAACCACAGTGTTATTGTTGTGAATATATCAAAATTACAACAGTGATATATATAAATCCTCTTGAATTATCTCATCGAATACAATTTTAAACTTAGATGGATTGGTTCATTGGTGTCATAACTGCATTTTTCCACTCAGAAAACATAAATATGACTCATCAATAAATGAAATGAAAAACACTGTTGATAGATTCCATCTAAGGGGTGCTTTAGATAGCTGACTATTGTTAAGCACATATAGATTTAATCAGAGCAAAACTGCACAGCAAAACTGTTAAAAACGAGAACTAGATACTGAAGAGTAATGCAGCAGATAATGCACTTTCTTGCTCCTGACCAACCTGAGTCTAATCTCTGACACCAAGATGGTCTCCAGAGCCCTGCCAGAAGTCATCCATCCGTACAGAACCCAGCCAAGAGTAAGCCTTGAGTACCACTGGGTGTGGCCCAAAAGCAAACAAACAAACAAACAAGGTAGAACTATAATCATTTCACCACAAGCAAGTATTTCTCTATTAATAACCTATAGTAATCGATATATATGTATATATAAAGCACTATAAAAATTACTAAATTTATAGGCTCTATGTTCAAACTTGCAAGATGGAGCAAAAAAAAGAAAACAAGTTTCGATTCTGAAGTTCTTAGTAATCAAACAAAGTATATTTGCTCTTCTAGGTACCTTTGCAGCAGCAGGAGAGCAAAGCCATATTTTATGTACGCCACTGCTAATTTAGAGAAATCCTATTTACATAGTTTGGAATCAGCCTTAAAAATAGAAACATGAGCCAGCGTTGAATCTTCAACTATAATTCACAGACCCTATGGAAAATATGCGCCCTTGGCTTTGTCTCCAGGCACATGAGAATATACTCCTGATTGCAATTTTAGACTTATTTTTCATTTTCATTATACTATAAGTATACAACTGCACTCTACAACACAGTAGGACAATCTAAGATAATTATTCTTTCTATATATCTTTTTATACATCTAAAATAATCTAAAACTTAAACGTTTAAAAATTTCTCACATATCAGTTCAAAGCAATAATATTACAGCTGATATGGTGCTTGTCTTGAATGCAGCTGGCTGGCCTGGGTTCCATCACCAGCACCCTGAGCACTGAGTCAGGAGTAAACCCTGAGCACTGTAGGGTGTGGCCCCAAGAGAAAACAAAATTTTATTTTAAATCTTTTCATATATCTAAAATAATCTTTGTGTTTATTTATGTAAAATGCAAGCATTAACAGTCTCTTAACAGCAACAGCAAAAAGTTAAAATTTAATGTCATCCATTTTTTGTCCACAAATTTGTGCAAATATGCATAAATTAAGGAAAATAAATTCCTTTGTATAATCTGTGGCAAGTCAATTGTCTTGTCTACTGTGTTCTCATAATTGCTCTATCAATCTTGACAAAGCTAACAATACATTACTTTCCCAAATTACTCTAAAGTAAGACCTTTCTCTCTAGCTTCTTATATGACTGGGGTGCTTGAATATAGCCAAACTTGTGGTGAATATACACATTGTACTGACAATGGTTCACTTTGGCAACTTTTTTCTTCACAGGTTACCATAAGTTGTCAACGACATTTATGGGTCCAGGTGCCCCAAATTACTAGATAAATGGAGAGAGGAGACGCCTGTTTTGCCAAGCTGTTTCTTGGATTCTATGTAAAGAAGAGGTCCCTTTGATAAAGCTATTCTCCATCAAATGGATTATTGACATTGATCTTCAAGGAAATTTCTAAGAGAAAAATATGCTTGACCCATCGTGCTCAGTTCGGACGGCTTCTCCTCCAACTCCACCCTGACTTTCTTTCTACTTGCAGTTCACCTTCCGCCGTGAATTGCCTCTTCTTCAGTTTCCATCCTCTCTGGAGTACGGAAAATAACTAGTCCATGTTTAATTCGGAACTGTTGAGAATTTTGTTCTGGATCTCTGACAGGCCAGAGGATTTAACAGAATTTCAATTCTATTTTAGGTTGAATAGAGCAAGATTGATTCATAGAGACCCCAGAATTTTTGAAGGCTCAATTAGATTATTCTTCTACCACTGTAAGTGGTGGAAAATGTATAAAAACTGAGCCTACATGATTTCTGGCTGCCTTCCACTGCCTGGTAAATTAGCCCAGCGTCATCAATGAGTGTGAGCCATCAGACCAGGTTTGTCTTTCCCTATTTTATAAATAAGTGAATAAATAAGTCCCGCAGGCAGATAGGAAGGACACTACCTGCAAAGCCGTCGTCGAAAACATCAGAAGCTGGCATAACACGTCCATTTTAACGGAAATGGGTTCTGTATTATTTAATCAGGACGGCTTCTGGGCGATTCATGAACCACTTATTGAATCACCGAGTTTAAGAAATCTGAAAAAAAATATTGGGAGTTGGTAAACACCATCTCCTGATTGATCAATAGTATCTAGTGTTTCAGAATGACATGAAAGACTTCTTTTTCTTTCTTTCTTTTTTAACTCTACTGGCATTTTAAAGCCATGAAATTGTTTTCAGTTGAACATAGTAAATAGTGAATCTATATAAATCATAGAAAACTCATTGTTAAAATCCACCATCATCTTTGGCCTACAGTCACTAAGGAGAGAAAGGTATGCATTTTATGGACTGAGCTGCAGTTTCTAAACAAGTCACTTTTCAAGATTCCTTTTTCTTGAGAAAAGAAAGTAAAAATAGGATGTTACGAGTATTTCTGAGCCAACTATAAAACAAATTTAAAAGTAATCCCTGATAAAAAATATCACTGGATTTTTTTAAAATGTTACGCACAGCAGTTAAAGCAATTAAGTTACTACATTAATAAAAGGGAACAGAGAAATTCAAGATTACTATTATGTCCTTGAGGTGTGAGTAAATGGGCCTTTTAAAGAGCCTTGTGTTTTTTAAAAAATCTTTATTCCTTGGTCAATTACTGAATTGTTCAGTTAATGTTAAAGTGGGTATATGAGCAACTATTTCCAAATCTTTCTTTTGTATCTACCCTACTAACGGCTTTAACTTTTTGAGCATTCCTATAAGGGTGAAAACAGAAATATTTTTATAATATAGAAAATAAATAAGCCATTAGAACCTGATAAACACTAACTATGTTTATACATAAAAACAGCAAAGATGAAATAAGATTTAAATAATGCTCTTAGTGTTTTGATTATTTTCATCAATTCAATAGAATACCTCATTGCAACTAGTAATAATTTTACATCTTCCATCAAGCCAGTGTGAATTTAACTGTATTTTATCGGCGACTTAGGGATTCCCTTTTAGTGTTTTAACAGTCTAAACTTGGTGTTACACAGCCTAAACATGGTTTCAACTAGGCAGAGTTTGGCAAGAGATCAAACCTGGTTCTTGTATTTGGGATACAGAGACAGTCTAATAAATGGGGTTGTGCAACTGAAAAGGGATAGAGGACAAAAAAATAAAAGGTACTTGAAAAAAGGAGGAAATTCTTCAAAAACACACATGAATACTAAGTATGTTATATAGTTTGTCTTTCTGGTGACAGACATCCAGATTCCATTATAAAATAAAGAGCCAAGTCAAGGGAGAAATTCCAGATCTGGCTTGATTTCTGGGGAGAGCAGATCTTCAACAATGTTTAAAATTTAGGTAATATGATCTCATTAAAAACATCTTGGAAAATGATATGGCTGGTGTTTTTTTTTGTTAAAAAACCACCAAAAGTTTAAAACTACCACAAATTCTCTCTATTCTGTTTTTATAGTTTTTCACCAAGTTTGGGCACTAAACAAGTACAGTGTTATAATTACCAATTACCATAATTAAAATTTTTTAGGTTACAATAGGATTCTTCAGAAGAACTGAAATAAATTTCCAATTCCTTCACTTGGATCAATATGTTAATGCAAGAGAAACCCTTTTAAACATTTATCATTTGATTTCTGGTTGAGCAAAGCATTGTATATGGGAGATTTGAATCTTTTGTTTGGGACTTTTAAAAAACATACAATCTGTGGCTAGGGAGATTAGTATAGCAGGATGGGTGCTTTCCTTGTCCCCAACTGGACTAACTTTGATCCCTGGTGCCCTCCTCATATCCTGCCCCACCAGGAATGATCCCTGACACCCAAGTGAAGCCTGGTACCCAGCCTCTGCCCGAAGTGATACCTGAGTGCAGCTCCAGGAAGAAATCCTGAGCAATGCCGAGTGTGACCCCCAGAACAAATTAAAAAACCTCTTAAATGTAATGAGAAGCTTCATAATCTGATTATTAGAAAGCGTCAAGCAATTTTAAATAAAAATGTTACCCTACATAAAGCTTAATTTTAAAAAATTTGCACTATAATCATATTCACTGAACAAGACAAGTGCTTCGTGTCTCCATATTTTTCACAAAATGTTTTTTCTCTTCTCTTAGGAAAAGAAGGCATAAAACATTTGAAAATAATATTAAAGTAATAAAGCTTAAAACCACAATATTATTTTGAAAAATAATATCTACCACACAATGAGTCTAGTGTCTTATACCCATGGTAGCATTCCATATAATTATATGCATAACAACCTGATTATAGAAGTATTATAACCTAAACTCATTTAATAATTGATGTCACTGAAGTTTATAAAATTTAAAAAAATATGTCCAAGTTTACACAGCAAGTGAGAGCCAAATTTCATTTCAAAGTTAATCTTGAAGTCCTATGAAGGTGAGTTCAGAAGATCATCTGTTTTCCTAATGAACTACTCCTGAGCTCATCTTTCTTCTTCACATTTAAAACCAGACTCTTCAAACAGACCTTAAGAACCAGCAAAGAAGCTCTCACACCATAGTAAAGATATTCCTTAATACATTTTCAAAGATAAAGTTTTGTTTCCTGGTTGTTTATTTTCGCTGTTGTTATTGTTTGTTTGTTACTATTAGATATTTTGGCATTCCTGTAAATGTCAATTTTTTTCACTAACAAAATGAAATTACAACAAATTATTGTTTGGCCAATAGTCTACTAAATTATATAGATTCAAACTCTTCCTGATACTACTACTCACTTATTGAACATTTCTAAGACTTTATTATCAGCAACCCTACATATGTCCTAGTTGCAGTTTCTCAAATGCTTTCAGTCAACTCTGTTAAAGTTTGGGCGAATTGCCATACTATTTCATGGAAGTATTTTGGAAATGACCTTAAACATCATTGAATCCTGTAAAGATTGCTCATTATGCAAAGTATGAAACATCACATGTAGACTTATACCAGTAGCTTACTTCTGAAGCAATTCATCATTATTCTCCAGAGATTACTTACTCTAGAAAACTGGTGATATAGTCTCGGCTGCAGGCAGACCAGGAAAAAGGATTGGTGTTTGCAGTAATGTGAGCTGCCATAAGTTTTGCTGCTTCATGACCTTTCGTCCCACAAGAATTCCCAATTCCATCATGATTCATACCAAAACTGTTTTAACAAGGAACAAACATAAAAGAAAGAAATTAGAAAAAATAACACAAAGCCCTGAAATATCCTTCATTTCCTGATTTGATCATTTGTTAGCCTTATCAACATATTCCTTTCATTGAGATAAAGCAGATACTCTAAGGAAATACAGGATTAAATTTAGAGAGACTAAGAAATAATTCAATATATAATATATTTCTAAATCCCTTTATATGTATCATATACTATCAAATGTTATATGTTACAAATGATCTCTCCTTAAATATAGGGAATATATGTTAACTCTCATTTTGTAAATGAGAAAAACTGAGATTTAGTAAGTCAGTAACCTAGTAACCTAGTTAGAAAATGTTGACATTTTTAGTGAAATGTGATCTTTTTTTTCTTGATGCCACACATGGTTGTGCTCAGGAATTACTCCTGGCTCTGTGCTCAGGGATCACTGCTGAGGAGTGCCAGCTTTTGAAAAGGGATGGTCACATGCAAGGGAAGAGCCCTTCCCACTCTATCTTTGTCCCTTGAATCTCACTTTCGATATACTAAAATGAATTTATACTACCTCACAATATCTTATCAAAAGAAAAAAAGTATAGAAAGATGGTTATGATTTGTTGAAATCTAGATGTAAACCAGAGATTTCCAAACTTATTTTTCCTAGTGCCCCTTTCTCAGAAAAACAAAACAAAACAAAACACACTCAGAACCACCTGAAAATCAATCTTTCACCAAAGATGAGCACACCCCAGTTCCCCCGAAGTGGAGTCTCCTCTCCCTTCCTGGATTGTTCCAGCACCCCACTGGGGAGTTATTTCCCACTTTGGGAAATGATGGCCGGGACCAAAGAAATCCCTTCTCTTATTAATATATGTAAAGGAGAATTAAATGTGTTTTAAGTGTATGTCCGTGTTTTCAAAATCACTTAATCACTTAACTTCCCGTTAGTCGTCGATTTGCTCGAGCGGGCGCCAGTAACGTCTCCATTTGTCCCTGTCGCGTGCTAGTGTAGCCCAATGGCATCTGTTCGCTCCGGGAACATGAAGGGCCTCAAACCGATCGTTCATGATCTTGACGAAGAAGTCTGACCATCTGGTAGGTGGGCGGCCACGCGGTCTTTTGACATCCCGTGGAATCCAATCAGTAACAGCTCTAGTCCAACGGTCGTCTTTAAATCTCATTACGTGACCAGCCCATCAGATTTTCGACACCTTGGCAAATGAGACAGCGTCCCTGATCCTTGATCGTCGACGGATGTCAGAACTCCGGATTCGTTCTCTCATTTGAGTGAAACATGATATTCCAAGCATAGCTCTTTCTATTCTTCTTTGGGAGACCTGAATAGCATTCTCATCTTGTTTGCGTAGGGCCCAGGTCTCTGAGGCATATGTTAATGCAGGAAGAATAGTGGAATCAAAGAGATGTGCTCGTAGCTGGAGGTTCTTTGTCCTTTTAGTTATTTCTTCAATGCTCTTGAATGCTGGAGCGATAGCACAGCGGGTAGGGCGTTCGCCTTACAAGCGGCCAACATGGCCGACCCGAGTTCGATTCCTCTGCCCCTCTCGGAGAGCCCGGCAAGCTACCGAGAGTATTCAATATGCCAGACACAGTAACAACAAAGTCTCCAATGGAGACGTTACTGGGCCCGCTCGAGCAAATCGACGATCAACGGGAGGGCCTTTACCTTTACCTTTACCTCTTGAAGGCATTCCAAGCCGCTCTCTTCCTCCTGCGCAGCTCGGGTGCCAGGTCATTTGTCATGTTGACCTCTCGACCTAGGTAGACATAGCTGTTGCATTCGGAGATGGTCGTTCCATTGAGAGCGAATGGGGCGTCAGGAACAAGGCTGTTTCTCATAAACATTGTCTTCGTAAGATTCAGCTGTAGTCCTACCTTTCCACACTCATGGTCAAAGTCGGCCAGCATTTGTGCCGCTTGGCTGACGTTTGGTGTTATTAAAACAATGTCATCAGCAAAGCGGAGGTGGTGTAATTGCCGACCATCTATCTTCACTCCCATTCCTTCCCATTCCAGTCGTCGCATGATGTTCTCGAGGGTGGCACTGAAGAGTTTCGGTGAAATGGTATCACCCTGCCGCACCCCTCTCTTGACATCAACGATCACTTCTTTGTAGAATGGTGAGATCCTGGTAGTGAATCCGCAATACAGCTCACGGAGGATCCTGATGTATTGGGCTTGAATGCCCTGATTGGCTAGGGCTTCAATGACCGCTTCCGTCTCCACAGAATCAAAGGCCTTCTTTAAATCAATGAGCGTTAAACAGAGCAGCATCTTGAACTCCCGAGAAACCTCAATGAGCTTGGTTATCATGTGGATATGGTCGATGGTGCTGAATCCTTTGCGGAACCCTGCTTGCTCGCATGGTTGTCCTTCATCTAATGGTCTGCCAATCCTATTCAGGATGACTCGAGTGAACAACTTGTAGATGACAGACAATAGGCAGATCGGGCGATAGTTGCCAATGTCATGGATGTCTCCCTTCTGTGTTTTCAAAATATATACTTAAAATTCTTGATGCAAGTAAGGATCATGAACAGATTTTCTTGGCCATGGCCCCCCTTTATTTTTTAAAACTATTTTTTGTCATCTGTTCCTGTGCTCAATAACTTAGTGCTATAAATCTGATAAAAAAATCTCAGTGATAAGTTACAGTTTTTATTCCTTAAAATGTAATAACAGTAGGACTGTCTTCATTGTGACATTCTAACAAATGTGCCATGATATGTGTTAAAGGAAATAAGTAATTTGTGAGAAAAGATATATAACATAGATGTTTGTGGAAGAAAAATCGGAGAGGTCATTGAGAACAGATAATTATAAGCTACTATGTGAAAGTAAATAATCCCTTTGGCAGTGAAGAGACATGGAAGATTTGTTAGAGCAATTGAAGATTTCTGAGCAGCATATGGACTTCACCTCTATTTTAAACAGGTTATTATAGTAGCTCTATGGAGGAAACATTAGTGTGGCAATCGAATGGTGCCAAGGAGAAGAGCTGGGAGCTCACTGCAATTGAGAAATGATGTTGGTCTGAACTGATACACTGAATAAAGAAACAGGATTAGAAGAGTTTGGATGAATTTGGTCTTCATCAATACTACATAAGAGTAAAAATACAGACATATTATATCCATAAAACAGGGAAGGAATAATTCAGGTAAAGGAACTAGAATAAGTTAAGAAAGAAAAGTATATGATAGTTTCCAGAACTTTAAATTGAGTGAACCCAGGGACCTGATGGTGGGGTTTACAGATTGTTGATCTAGACATATATTTTATCAATAAATCAGGTTGGAGAGATAGTACAGAGGGTAGGATATCTGCCTTGCATATAGCCTACTCAGGTTCAATCCCGGCACCCCAATTGGTCCCCCGAGCCCATCAAGAGTGTTCTCTAAGTGCAGAGCCAAGAGTAAATGCTGAGAATTGCTGGGCCCAAAAGCCAAAAGTCAAAAAAAAAAAAAAAACTACATTAAGGCAAGTGCCTTCCCTATTGTACTTTCTTTCCAGCCTCTCTTTGTAATAGGAGGCACAATGAGATACCAACTGCAATGGCCATTAATTTAATTGGATATTCTTAAAAGAGGTATAATCAGTACTTGCAACATTCTAGATAATCTATTTTTTATAGTTACTTAACAATAACATTTTTAAACATCAACTACAAAATACACACCAAGTGTATCTTTTTTATTGATTAGTTTTTTGTGTTTGCTTTTTTTCTTATTTTTTATTTTAAGTGCTGGAAAGAGGTGTGTTATGCATAACTCAGAGCTTTGCACTTGCTGGGCTTGGCCTAATGACTTAAAACATACAGAATCAAATGAGCTCTATTCTGAAGCCACAGCATAATATTTTTTTAAATATCTTTTCAAAAATATATGAGAGAAAAGCCTTTGAAAATACTGATCTCAAATCAAAAGAAATGTTACATTTGATTCCTCTTAAAAATCTTTTAGTAAAGGTACCAGATGCAGATGGCTACCCTGAAGATTAAGAGGTATCAGTAGTCTAAGAGAAAATGTACTTTGTAGCTTATATATCAAACTGAAGAAATCACAAAAAGAATCTGACCAAAGTTAAATAGTTTACTGACTGTAACACAAAGTGAAATGTAGGTTTATAATAGTCATTTATGACATAGCTCTAAAAGATTCCCTTAATAATTAGGCAAGTACAAAATATGTTTCTTTTTGTAAAGATAGAGTCCCTGCTGAGAAAACCCTGTTAGTGCAGAGTTTGCCAAAAAAATTTTTAAAAAACTAGTTAGTGATCAAGAATAATAAACAAATTATGCTTTAAAACCACCACAGTGGCAAAAATTAGAATGCTAGCTAAGACTGCTAGCAGTGGGATACAGAAATGGGAATCTGAGAGTTCAACAGTTGTAGTGTGATCAGAGTAACTGTTTTTCACTGAGAGCAATTCATTCACCAGTACCTTGTCAAGTTAAATAAACAGATACAGTATGATTCAGCAAGCCTATCTTTGGATATATACTTTAGAAACATTGCCAAAGGAAGCATATATGGGGATATTTAAGAGAGAATTATTGATGAAAGCCAGGAGCAAAGGATAATCTAGGTATCTGTCACTGGAAAATAGACATATTTTTTAGGCAAATGCATGTTATGGAAAACTAAGCACTGATTGGAAACAGCAAACAAGAGAGATGTCTATATATAAATATGAACAGATATTAAAAATGATAAAAAATAAGAAAAAGAAACAATGTCTATAACACAATACCATATTTATAAACCAAAATTACATATATAGTCAGGCCAAGAAATTGTTCCACATTAAAGATTAAAGAGACAAAACTAAATACAATGGATATTGGATCGAGAAGGAAAATATTATAGAGTATTTCTGGGATAGTTGATGAAATTTGAGTATGGATTATATATATTAGATAATAGTAGAGCATTGATGTTCAAAAATTTCTAATTGGATAATTACACTGTGGTTATACAGAGTTAAAA